GTCACATCTGACCACAATGAAATAAAACTAAAAATCAACAGCGAGAAAAAACTTTGAAAACTAAGCACTTAGATATTCAACAAATTATTCCTGAATAACCAGTGGATTAAGAAAGATATTAAAGAGAAAATCATGCAATTTTTAAATCAATTAAGATGGAAATACAACATAATAACATAAAGGATATTAAAAAAAGCAGCACTAAAAGGAATTTTTTTTAATTCTTTATTTTATGACACAATTTAATAGACACTGGGTTTCCCCTCCTCCTTCCCACCCCCTTTGTTCTCCCAGAAGGCTAGGTGTCTTCTGAGATGTCTCCCAATGATGGAGGGGCTTATCTGTCATTTCGCTGTGACACCATCCTTGTATTGCAAGAACAGTTATCCCTACCTCCATTCCATTAACTTCTAAGGACAACGTGGAGGTGGGAGGGAGAGAGGGATGTTTTAAGAAGGGTTTGGCTGATGCGGTCCGGAGGCTTCCACCTGCAGAGCTGGATTTTCTGGTTGCAGTCCCAGGCAGAGGCCTGAGGACTGCAGAGCTGACGGTGTCCACGTCACTCTGAGTGTGCCCGAGCTCCAGCAGGGCCACTGGGCCAGTCGCAATGTGAGGGCAGCAAGACATGAGGTCTGAACCCAGCAAGGCAGGTCACATGCTGGCATTCTGGTGTCAAGGAACCAAGTAGAGTCCTGGCTGCTCTGCTTTCAATCCAACTCCCTGATAATGTGCCTGGGCAAGCAGCAAAAGCTGACCCAGGTCCGTGGGCCCTTGACGTGGGAGACCTGCTTGGAGTTCCAACCTCCTGGTTTCAGCCTATCCGAGCTCTGGCTGCCTGTGTCTTGCTCTACCCAGGCCTTCAACACAGCAGTGGTCCATTTTTTCCCACCTGCTGCTGGCTGTATGTGGCCCCACCCCGCCCCCATTCATTTTCCCTCATGGGATGCCCAGTGTGGGCTTACTGATTATATTCAGAGGTGGGGCATTTGTGATGCATGCTGAACTCTGACCTCTAAGACTGTGGCATTCCTATATCTGTTGTTGTAGCTTGGTTCTGCCGCAGTCCCCCTGCACTATGGGCTGCCAGCTGCCTGTCTCCTTGTTCCAATAGGTATTGTTCCAAACCTGTGCCGTTGGCCAGTTGCCCTGCCTTTTGGCTCACTAAGTTTCTCAGTCTGAGCCTGGCTCTGTTCCACACGTGGACAATTGGCCATGAAAAGCAGCCATGAGAAGTCCCTGCTTTTCAGAAGGGCTCACGGCTGTGTGAGGAGCAGGCTCATGGCCACGCAAACCAGTGGGCTACTAGCCAAGGTAGGAAGCACTGTCTAAGTGTCTGCCGTGGCTTGAGATAAAAGAGACCACGATGTAGCCAGTGTGATACCACGCTGGTGCCTTCACAATGTCAGGGCCTCTTTACATATTGCCATCAAATGATATCCAAGGCATCTCTGAAATTTCACATGCAACTGCATGTGGGTACAGTACAGCATTTCAATTCATGTGTGTGACTGTTCGAAAAGGTCATGGAAATGGTTTCAGCTTAGCCCACAGTCACTGTTAGTGCTTTCGGGTTGTTAAGCTCTCTTTGGGGTAAGCCAAAATACCAGACACAGTGAGGCACCTAGGAAGTCCTTTATTCCAGCAGGGTAAGGACGGGAATGGAATCAGAGGGAGAGGAGGGATGGTAAGTCTCTTTCCATGGAGGCAGGAGGGGCTGCAAAGGAAGGGGTGAGGGAGAAGCCAGATGAAGGAGGACGGAAGTGCCAGGCAGGGGAAGGGGCAGCACCTGAAGGGGGCGAGCACACAGGAGAGTGTCCTTTTTGTGGGCAGGGGTTGGTGTCAAGTAATTGTGATGAATTGGTGGATTATTGGAGCCACAGGGGGTTGGTAGGTGGACAAGGATTAGGGCAAGGGCCATGCGGGGTTGGTGGAGAGGGCTGCTAGGTAAGGCTTCATGAAGTTACCAACAGATTGGTGGGAACAAAGTTACAAAGTTATAGTGGATTGGCAGACAACAAAATCTGAACCTGGAAGGTGTGTGAATTTTCTGGAAGTTGACCCAAGGGAAACAGATATTTAAAACAGTACCAAGTCCAAAATGGCAGGGTCTTTAGAGCTGATGTTTGAGTCACTGCTCACAGTTACAGGTAAGGCCATCTGAGGAGTGAGCCAGTGGATGCAAGATTCTCTCTCCTCCCTCCCTCTTTCTCTTTCCTTCCTTCCCAGCGACTCAAATAAATAAGTAACTCTTTTTCTTAAAAAGTCCAAAAAACTAGAAGTGGATTTTAAAATTTTTGCACAAACAGCAACTTGCCTTTTAACTCTATTTTCCATGAACTTTTTGAAGGTCCTTCCTACAGTAGTATTGCATTTGTCAAATCAGGCTTACATTGCTAACATACTCATTTCTTTGTGATGGAAATGCAACCATCTGGAAATGCAGAGTGAAGTGCCTTGACTTGAGGGTGCTAGAGAACACGGGAGCTTCGTCCTTCCATCTCGCTGGGCTTTGTTGCCAGTTAACCGCCTGCTCTCCATCCTGCCCTCCCTGCCCTTTCCAGCCTCTGGTGACCTCTGCTCTGTCCCACTCTATTGCAATAAAGTCAGCTTCCCGGACACCTTCTCACCACCCTTAAATGGCTGTTGTCCAAAGGAGCGACGCAGCAAGTGCAGGCAGGGCAGCAGAGTAGCAGGATTCACTCATACACTGCTGGTGACAACATAAGCTAGCACAACCGTGCTGGCCAACAGGGTGGGACTGCCTCCAAGAACAGCATAGCGGAGCTGCCATGAGCTGCACAGCTGCTGTGCTAGTGTGCCCAAGTGGCAGCTGCACACCCATGGCCAACTACAGCAGTGTTTATGACAGCCCACTGTGGTATGCATATGGGCAGGTGCATGAATAAAGAAAACGTGGTGTCTACACACAAGGAACTACTAAATAGCCAGCAGAAGATGAGAACCTGTTATTTTTGGAAAAGTGCACGGGACTGGAGGACATCGAGTGGGATGGCAATGGAGCCCCCTTCCGAAACCGGTGCCTTCTGACACTCTCTACCGTGACAAGCTACCATGGCTCCTGGATGTCCTCATGGTCAGGTTGGCAACCCTTCTGTCCTTGCCCCACCCCTGGCCTCACCCTCTCTACACCTGCCAGGCTGGTGCTGCTTTGCATTCTGGAGATGCAGCCCTGGGCTCCCATGGGGCACAGACAGCACAGTCAGACAGAAAACCGTGAGCGCACGTTCTCCACTCACCATTCCTACACCTGCTCATCCTCACCAACACCAGACTGCTGCCTGGGAACGGACTGCGGCTCGGTTACACTCACGGGGACACCCTCCAGTGGCTGCACCTGTGGGGTGTCCTGGGCTCTATCGCTGCCCACCTTGCGCTGCCTGGGACACCTTACAGTGTGCCTACTCACTATGCATCTTCAGCTTAAGTCACACCCGGCGTGATTCCGCAGCGTCAGTGGACCACGGGAGCAGCCTCTGTTCTCTGTCCACCACCAATGAGAGAGGTGGGACGACACAGCTGAGGACCTGGTGGGCCTGAGCAAGCCTCACGCCGGGCCACAGGTGTTTCAGTGTGGCTGGACGCGCTCTGGGGGCACACACAGAAAGGCAGCGGCACCCTGGAGCAGTGCCTGGCTAGCAGCTCTCGCTGATTACTACATAGAAGTCTGACCTCAAGGCAGGCCCAGTGAGTGCAGCAGGTAACTCTACTGCGGTAGATTTCATGTCCTGGTACAGCTTGACCACCGATGCTTTGAGCATTACTGTATAAGCAGCACGTGGATTAACCGATCCCAGCGGTCTGGGTCTGAGACTAAGATCCTGGACACCAGTTATTCCTGTTTGATCTGCCGGAGCTCATGGTGGGCAGCAGCCTGGATCTGCCGAGGAGACCGGCAGTCCTCACCCATGTCCTTGCTGGAGCCAGGCAGCTTCCTGTCTGCCCCTCTGCCTGACGATGTGCAGAGTAGAAGTATGTTGGCCGCCTGTCCACACGGAAAGTGGGGAAGGCTTAGGATCCACTTGGCAGCTATCTCTCCAGATGACGAAGCAACTCTGGGCCCACAGACCTACTTCTTCCTTTCCAGCTGTCGAAGCCACATGGCCAGCAGACCAAGGTGGATGAGATGAGCTCAGCCATGGCCGTCCTCTGCTTTGCACAGAGCCCTCTGCAGCTTAGGCAGATCCTCGCCTGCGTGCCTGCTTCTCTGGTTGTCATTCTGCCTGAGCGGAGTCAGGAAATGCAACAGTTGCTTTCTCATAGGCTGCATGGTTCCCACGAGCTTCCCTTTGAATTATCTGACAGGCATCGATGGGAATACAGCCAGCAAGGCAGTCTCTCCTGCTCCTCCCAGACTCTGCCAACCCCTGCTTCCCACCACCAGCACCCTCACAACCTGGCCTGGCATATCGGCCTTTTCCATGCTACAGCCCATGGAGCTTCTGACCCCAAGCAGGGTGGGCTCTCAGCCTCTAGGTACAGAGAGGCTAAACACAATCTCACTTTTCCCAAGATGCTGGAGGTGTTAACTTTTTCCCTTCCTGGACACAATGGGTAGGTAACTTGGCGGACTCCAACCCGTGTGCATTGGGACGCTCGGCTTCCTGCTGACTGGGTTTTGCCTGGAGTTTTTAGTTGTCAGGAGCTCAGCACTCTACTAGGAAACAAGGAGAAAAGACCTTGAAAAAGGCTACTCAGCCTCTTGCAGGCGCGTCGGCGGCATCCAAGTGCACAATTCGCACATCTCACAGACGCTGCAGAAAACCTCTGGGCTTTGGGAAGGGATTAGGGCGCATCTAGGGACCTGGACGTGCCACCAAGTCACAGACTGTTTCTTTTTGCCAAGGAAAGCCAGCGTTCAGACACCCAGAGGAGGAGGAGGCGCCATCAACTCTGTGGCCGCCCTGCAGCAGAGCGCGTGGGCAGTGCGGAGCTGTTGACGTTTCCACGGCAACGCGGCAGCGCGCAGGCGGTAGTCGGTCATGGCGGAGGACTTGGAGCCCGACTGTGAGTGCACGCTGCGGGACTCAGCCCAGTTTCCCAGCGGCAGCAGCTGGGAAGCCCCTTCCTGGAGCTGGCCTGAGTCCTAGGCTCTGGGAGCCACCTGGAGCCAGTGACAGCAGGGCAAATGAGGAGTGTGCGTGTGTGAGAAACTCAGTGAGTGTGAGTGAGTGTGACAAAACATGGATGTGTGAATGTGAGAGTGTGTGTGTGTGTCTACGTGTGTGGGAGCGTCAGTGTGTGAGACTGTGAGAATTAAAGTGTATGAACAGTGCATGTATGAGCATGTGTGAATGTGAGCATGTGGACATGTGGGACTGAGTGTGCAAGTGTGTGCGCACGCGTACCGTGTGGTGCGTGTACATGCAGTGTATGTGAATGTGTGTTTACAGAGTTCACAGGTAACGCTGTGTGTGCGTGTTTACCGTGTTCACAGTACTCGTGTGTATGTGTGGTGTGAGAGTGCCTGAGCACGCGTGTGAACACGAGCGCTTCCATCCCCTAGTCCACAAGAGCCGAGCAAGCCGGGAGCCGGGAGCTCCACCCAGGGCTCCCCAGGACTGCCAGGGGCCCCCCACCTGGGCCCTCACTGGGCTGCTGCCTCCCAGGGTGTGTGGGAGCTCCACCCAGGGCTCCCCAGGACTGCTAGGGGCCCCCCACCTGGGCCCTCACTGGGCTGTGGCTCAGCATGAGGCCGCAGGAGTAAGACTGGGACTCCACACACCCATTTTTGGTTTGTGGCATCTCAGGTGGCATTTTAATCCTGAGGTTAAACTCCTGCCACCCTGAAAATTAGATGCGCTGTTTGTTAAAGCAAGTTCGCTTTCAGATGATTTGTAGAAGACCCGCACTTTCTAACAAATGTTTGAAACTTTCCTGTCGTGACTGTCAGGTACAGGTGGCAGGGTCTGCCAAGTGTCTGCTCGTAGGAAAATGTTGATCACGCTTGCTCTCTGATGGGTTCTGCAGTTCACAGGGTAAGAACCTGGCAGACGAGAAAGAATCTAGGTCCTGGGTGTCTGCAGCCCCAGAACTGAAAAAAAAAAAAAAAAGAAAGAGAAAAGAAAGAAAGAAAGGAAAATGATTGCATGGCTGCATTTGATAGTGGCTGCAAGTCCTTTAATTTTAATCAACAACCATCGCTCTTCCCTCAGTGCCTATTTGCACATACAGTGGGTGCAGCACGCCTCTCTGTGCTGGATGTGTCGCTAGTGCATTACAGGGTTGTCTGTCTCCAGGGGCAGCTCTGCTAACATTTGATCGTCCCACAAGGGCTTTCTCTGAAGTACTGGGTTCGGTGACAGGGAGGGCTCACGAGTCCTCCCGCTGAGGGATTTGCACAAGTGTCAGCTGTAGCAGTGGACACAGGCGGCCGGGCAGCCCCTTTCCACCCCATTCCCTGTCTCCCTGGGCGGAGGGGCGGGGAGAATGCAGAGATGGCCCAAGTTCCTTTATGCTGGAGTCCAGGTGTGTGCTGTTTCTGCCAGTCAAAGTGGGAGAGTGGGTGGAGGACACAGCTGGCCTCATCATGGGGAGGACATCCGTGTGTGGTGGCTCAGAGGGAAGCCAGAGGCACCCTGGAAGAGGCAAGACTGTGGGCTCAGAGATGGGTGGGCATGTGTCCAGGAAGGCAGGCAGTGCCTAGAGCAAAACAGGTTTAGATGCACTTAAGTTCTTACGCGCAGCTGATTCCCGCAGCCAAGTCCTCTTTTCATGGTAAGTTTACCACAAGCCAAAATCTCAGAGGCAGCGAAGTGCTTACAAGCTCCTTCATTCCAGCAGGGTAGGAACTGGAACGTGGGTGGAGGCAGGAGGGAACAGGAAGGTAAGCCATCTTCTGCCACGGATGCAGGAGAGGGACTGCCAGGGCAGGGAAGGCGGCCTGGTGGGGGATGAGGAGAGCAGGTGCAAGGGGAAGAGGTACATATGGAGGCTCATTTGATACAACCCAGGTGACCCTGGAAGGTGTGGGGAGTGTTGGGAATTGGTTGGGAGGGGCTATGGGCAGGCCCCAAGGGATTGGTGACTGAGCTTGTCCCAGGGGATTGGTAAGTGGGTGGGGATCAAGGGGAGGGCTGCGGGAGATTGGGTGTGGGGCTCTCAGGTGAGACACCACGTTACATCTCATTGCTGGATAACCAGAGTAGTGCCAATGTAAGAGTCAAAATGGCTAAAGCCTTCAGGGCCCATGTTCGAGTCACTCCTCACAGTGCTGGCCTCCAGAACCAGCCTGGAGTGGCTCCCCCCAGCATCCCAAGAGCCCCAGGGACACCAGCCCTGGGCAGAGCGCCCCTCAGGGCTGTTCCCACCTGCCCATGGGAGCTGGTACAAGGTGGGGCTGAAGCTGCTGGGATGGACCTGGCTTCTTTCACACTGGCAGCGGTCACATTCCTTCACTCTCTGGGGACCGCTTCTGGTGGAAATAGACTAGATTGTAGCTGGTGTGGACAGAGACCAAACCCAGTCACCAATGAGTGTGGGGGAGGCTTGGGGCCCAGCAGGTCTGGGGCAGACACAGCTGTCAGGGTGAATGGGCCATGTTCAGGCAAAGCCACTGTGCTTGGCCACTGGGGGACCCTGAGCCCGGCACGCAGATCTCCTTGTCAGATCTCAGGGAGAGACGGGGAACAGAGGGGCCCCAGTGGGGACTCACAGCCGGTGGACCTCGGTGTGTGCCTGGACCGTGTAGGCGGAACCAGCCCCTGGAGACCCAGGTTTCTCATGGCTCTGCTGCCCTGGGGGGTGGGGACTCAGCCTTTGCCAAGCAGGTGGATGTCTGCTTGCTTGCCTCCTCCTTCTCTGGGGAGCCCAGCCTGTTGGCCAGCAGCTCGAAGGACACCACAGTATAACACACCCGGTGTTCCCAACAGAAGGTCTCTATTGGAAAGGCAGATATACAGAGAGGAGGGGAGACAGAGAGGAAGATCTTCGTCCATTGATTCACTTCCCAAGCGGTCCACTGGCCAGAATTGCGCCGATCCAAAGCCAGGAGCCTGGAGCCTCTTCTGGGTCTCTCACGCGGGTGCAGGGTCCCAAGGCTTTGGACTGTCCTCGACTGCTTTCCTAGACCACAAGCAGGGAGCTGGACGAGAATCAGGACTGCTGGGATTAGAACCGGCGCCCATGTGGGATCTCAGCATGTGCTTGGCTGGTGACCCCTGGGACAGACTGGCTTATTTGATGGAGTCTTGCTCTGTGCTATGGGCTGCTTTGCCAACAGTGGTGATGTTGGTTGTCTATGTACCATTTTGTGTGAGATGTTTGTCTTGCCTTTGTGGTGGACGGAATCAGAGAGGTGATGAGTGGCTCCCACAGTGAGGGGCATATGCAGAAGGCCAGGGTCCCCCAGTTTATGTCCTAGGCCTCTCCCAGGGCAGCTGAATGGGGCAGGGGGAGTCAGACCCCACAGGGATTTGCACTGTGGAGACAGAATGAGGAAGGGTCGTGACCGTTAGTCACCCACAGACTACTGAGACAGTTGAGAATTAAGGGCCATGGGTCAGATCTGTAGGAATGCATCCCAACATCTCACTAGTAGGAATGACAACTGTGGGATGGGCCGGGGAGTGCTGGGGGTGGGTGCAGTGGGGTGCTGGACCCTGTATTGGAGTGCCTGGGCTCCGTGGGGGCCTCCTCCACCGCTGGTTCCCCTTTCCTGCTAAGGTGCAGGCGGGGAGGTAGCAGTTAGTTCATGGCATCCTGGGTACCCAGGCGGGAGACCTGGATGAGTCCTGGCTCCTGGCTGTGCTCTGGCTCAGCCCTGGCTCAGCCCTGGATGTGCTGTGGCCCAGCCCTGGCTCCTGGCTGTGCTCTGGCTCAGCCCTGGCTCCTGGCTGTGCTGTGGCCCAGTCCTGGCTCCTGGCTGTGGCCCAGCCCTGGCTCCTGGCTGTGCTGTGGCTCAGCCCTGGCTCCTGGCTGTGCTCTGGCCCAGCCCTGGCTCAGCCCTGGCTCCTGGCTGTGGCCCAGTCCTGGCTCCTGGCTGTGCTCTGGCTCAGCCCTGGCTCCTGGCTGTGGCCCAGTCCTGGCTCCTGGCTGTGCTCTGGCTCAGCCCTGGCTCCTGGCTGTGCTCTGGCTCAGCCCCAGCCCTGGCTCAGCCCTGGCTATGCTCTGGCTCAGCCCCAGCCCTGGCTCAGCCCTGGCTGTGCTCTGGCCCAGCCCTGGCTCCTGGCTGGGCTCTGGCCCAGCCCTGGCTCAGCTCTGGCTGTGCTCTGGCCCAGTCCTGGCTCCTGCTGTGCTCTGGCCCAGCCCTGGCTCCTGGCTGTGCTGTGGCCCAGCCCTGGCTCAGCCCTGGCTGTGCTGTGGCCCAGTCCTGGCTCCTGGCTGTGCTCTGGCTCAGCCCTGGCTCCTGGCTGTGCTCTGGCTCAGCCCCAGCCCTGGCTCAGCCCTGGCTGTGCTCTGGCCCAGCCCTGGCTCCTGGCTGGGCTCTGGCCCAGCCCTGGCTCAGCCCTGGCTGTGCTCTGGCTCAGCCCCAGCCCTGGCTCAGCCCTGGCTCCTGGCTGGGCTCTGGCCCAGCCCTGGCTCAGCCCTGGCTGTGCTCTGGCCCAGCCCTGGCTCAGCCCTGGCTGTGCTCTGGCTCAGCCCTGGCTCAGCCCTGGCTGTGCTCTGGCTCAGCCCTGGCTCCTGGCTGTGCTGTGGCCCAGCCCTGGCTCCTGGCTGTTCTAAACATTTGAGGAGCAAATGAGGGGATGCAAGATTTGCATGTTTTACTGTGCCCTGCTTTTCCTCTGCCTCTCTACATTTCAAATGAATAAGAGATATATAAACGTTATTTTAGAAAGGTATTACAACTGCATTTTTAGGCCTTTCTTCTCAAACCCTTGCTAACAGTTAAAGAGACATGTTGTAAATGAGACCAAACCTCCTTCCACCTGGATGTTGAGCTCCTTGACTCTGGCCGGGCTCCTCCATCGCACGCATGTATCGCTCTTTCCTCTCATCTTTAGCCATATCCTGCAGTGGTCCAGGTGTCCTTCCCAGGGGAGGACCTACCCAGGCCCGCCGTGTGGACGCACACAGAGCCAGCCAGGCCGTGTCTGAGTCCCGTCCTCTTCTCTGAACAGTTTACCTCAGGTGGAGGCACTGTGAAACGCCAGGGCTTCAGACCCTGTGCAACCTGTCCAAGCTCCTGAATGGCCTCCAGAGGGCGCACAAAGAGGACATCTGCAGGTACACCTCCGGCCACCTGAATCCCAACAAGCTCTACCGGCCTCCCGAGACCATCCTGCAGCACTGGGCCAATGCCAACAGACCCAGGGAGGACAAGGTGGCCAGTGCGCGGCGGCTGCCGGCCGGGCAGACCCAGGAGATGAAGGACGCCTGGGCCTATTTCACCGTTAACACAGCTGTACTTCCGGATGACGCCAGGGACTCGCCGCTGTTCAGGTATCTAAACCCTAAGCCACAAGCCTTCTACCCCTCAGAAGAAAGCCTTCTCACGGAGAAGGCTCCAGGGGGACCGCAGGGCGCCTCGGCCCATGGCACCGCAGCAGAGCGCCTCCGAGAGGAGCTTCAGCTACCTGACCTGAAGGTGCTGCGGTACCACGCAGCCCGGTCCAGCCGCGCGTGCGCGCTGGGGCCTCCGGCCAAGGACCAGTACCAGTATATCAGCTCCTACCTGGCCGGAATCACCAAAGCCGAGCAGTACAGGAAGTTCCTGCGCTTCCAAAGAGAAGTGCTGGTGACACGCGATCTCTTGGAGAAGGACTTCAGCGGCAGCGCGGCAGCCCTGTGCCATGAGAAGAAGCTGGCAGAGGTCAGGGTCCCTGCGGCGCAGTGGGCAGAGCGAGAGCGTCTGGTGGGGTCTGCCTGAGCACCATGTGTATTCCCGGGAGCTTCATCACCCGCGGGGGTGCTGACCCCGGGTGTCACTCCTCCCTGGCAGAGAGGGGAGGGTAGTGCCAGTTTAGAAAGAGCAGACAGCAGCCTCTGCCCCAGGATGCGCGTCGCATGGCTTTCCCGTTTGTGTGCGGAAACTGATGAAAAAGTCAAAGTGTGTGTGTAAGGCCAAGCATGGGGGGGTGTTGGGGGCGGTGGGGAGGGGGGCGTGTGTTGCTGTGAAGGCGTCCTGGGTGCAGATACAGGGAACTGGCTTGGAAGACTTGACTCAGGTGACCAGGCAATGGAGGAACCTGGGCAGTGGAGGAGGGCTGTGTCTCCCAGGGCTCCTCCACTGCCCCATGTGGACCAGACCTCTGCAACGGGCGCTTCTGTTCCCCGCCGCCAGGAGCTCCAGAACGTATGCACCTGTAACCCTCTGCAGCTGAACCGGCTGCAGGTGTTCGGGGAAATCTTTGAAGACATCTGCAACAGCTCTCTGATTTTTGGTGGCCTCCTGAAGGAAGTGAAGGTAACGGGCGTCAGCCAGGGCTGGCCTGCCTGCTGCCACTCACAGAGGCTCCCTACCAGTCAGCCCACAGCACACCCCGGTCACCACAGGGCCAGCTGGCTCCCTCTGGAAGCCCGCAGCTTTCCACTGAAGCTTGCTGGGTCTATATAAGCATCTCCATATTATACAAATGAAAAATATCCACTCCTATCATTGCACCCGCCTCGTTCTTGATGGGTTTATGATCACACGGCAAGGGCCCTTCAGAGGGGATCCCAGTTGGGGTTGGGCTGCTTACAGATGAGACTCTTAGCTTCCCTAATGACCTGCTGTGATGACCCGGAGCGGCCTGTTCTCTGGACACGATCTCATCACTGGGACACCTGATTGGCACCCTCCACGCTGCGTGACGGGAAGCACCCACTATCTGGGCTGACATGGGCAGTGAGCGTCTCCCTGCTGTCCTCCCACGGCAGTGAGACTCTATGCATTCTAGCACATACAACACTTGATTTCTTGTAGCAGCACTTCTCTCCTGTCCTCAATCCCCCCATGACTCCATCAGACTCTGCTTGTGTCTAGGACGAGTACGAGCTGTACATGACGATCCTGTTGGACTCCCAGGCCACATCACAGCATAAGGTAACGACTAGGTAGGCTTGGCGTCGTAGCCCATAAACCATGGGCAACATGGTGAAACCTGGAAGTCCCATTCATGTCTCTACAACCTGGGCGGCTGCTACTTTCTCTGGAAGAATGTCTGTGTGTTGGTGTCAGGTCACATTGGTGGTAAAGGCCTTAGCATTGTTCATATTTCCAGACCAGCCGAGGAACTCCATGTACGTGAACAGTATGGGATGCAAGCACTGCTCCATTAGCGTCATCGAGTGTGCATGCTGGCACCCAGTGTGGGTAAGCCAGGGTCTGGAGTTGAACTGTGCAGCCCATCCAGGTATTCCTTCCAAGGCCAGGGCGGTGATTGTTCTAGCAGGAAAAGATGCCACAGGTACGACTCTGTCACCTGGCAGACACCCACAGACTCTAACACTGCTGCTAAGATGACCTCACCATTTTGAATTCAGTAAAGTTTAAAAAGTTCGGTTTTGTGAGTCAGCACACACAGTGACTTTGTGAAAAGATGAGCAGCACTGCTCTGAGGCTGGTGCTAACTGCTCCACTTCCGGCTTTGTCTGCGGGCACTTTTCTTGGTTTGGAGCCTTAAGCAGCGCAAGTGTTTCAGTGTTGGTTTTTATAGATGTAGCTAAAGGCTGAAGTTGGGCTCTACCCTGTTATTCATGTTGAGGTTGAATCAAAAAGACTATATGTGGGTTCTTCGCAAGTTTGTGGAGAACCTGAATTAAAGACACTTATTTTTTGTGCAAAACAATTTAGAATCCATAACTAGTTTTTTCCCCTTAGTTTTACAAAATGCATGTTTCCATGAACTTCTTTGACAGTGCTGGGAGGCTCAGTGGGTCCCCAGATCTGCAAAAAGTCCCCAGTGTAGATTTTGGTTCTGTTTCCATAGAACCTATTGTATCCATCCTCTTCAACATTTTAAACCATCACTGATCATCCCTAAGTTACTTACAGTACTGACACGGTGTACATGATGCGTAACTCAATTTAGGATTTCACTGTGTAGGGAATAATAACAAAAACATGCCCGCACGAGTTCAAAGTAGATGCAAGCTGCTTTTGTTTTTTTGAGCTGTACTTGCTTGAGCAATGGATCTTGGGGTGATGGACGGCTGACTGCTCCACAGCTCCATCTCACAGCAACTGAACCTCCTGACCCCATCCAGGGACCCTTCTAAGTCTGAACAGCTGGCGATGAACACCTAAGGACGCAGGGGTCTTTGGTGCTCCGTGTCTGAGAACACTGTTGCTTTCTATTCCTGTGTCGTGTGGGAATGACGATCCTTTCTCACTTAAAGGAAACGATTGCAGTGCACCTGAGCCCTGCAGCCTCCAAGTCCAATTCCTCACACAAGCCAGTGCGGAACTTGCTTTCTAGAAATATGAAAAGAGATGTTTTATCCAGAGTGTCACTTGAGTTGCCACCCCCTCCCGATGTCCCTCCCTCTGTTGAGTCCTATGATTTACCTACATTAACTCAAACTTAACTTTTTACTCTGGGGCACTGGGACACACAGAAGTCACCAGAACGGGGCGTTTCCCACCCTTCCTGATGGCTGCCTTCATTGTGTGCCTGGCCCCACCCAGACTTTCCTGGCTGAAATTAGAGACCTGGAGAGGAGTCGTGTGCAGACAGCCGATGTGGACCGAGCCAGGGAGGAGCTGAGGCTGCAAGTGAAGGCCGTCAGAGCCGCCCTGGAGCAGAATGACAGGTGAGGAGTGCTGACGACCACACCTGGACATGCGTGTATTATTCTTGCTGGGAAACGTTGCTGAAGCTGTGACTGGGGCCAGTGCTGGCCTGGTGACAAAGACACTGCCTGGGGAGCTCACATCCTACATGGCAGGGTTTGGGTTGCAGTCCTGGCGTCACGTCTGATTCCAGCTGCCTGTTAATGGCATCCAGGTAATTTGGATCTCAGTCACCCGCAGGAAGTCTAGACTGAGTTCCTACTTGCTCATTTTGGCATAGCCTGGACTTAGCTGTTATGGACATTTGGAGAGTAAACAAGCAGATGGAAGATCTGGGAGTTCTCGGTATCTCTGTGTAAATCTTTCCTTAGTAAAAGGACTAACAGTGTGGTACAGTGGGTTAAATCACAGCCAGTGATGCCAGCACCCCATTTGAGTGCTGCCTCAGGACCTCGTTGGTCCATTTCAATTCAACTTTCTATGTACACTCCTGGGAAAGCAGTGCAAGAGAGCCAGGGATTGACCCAGCTGCTGTTTCAGGCTCCTGGTTTTGCCTTGGCTTACGTTTGTCAATTTAGGCCATTTGTGCAGTGAGCCAGCAATGGAAGACCAATTTTTCTCTCTCCTTCTCCCTTTCTCTCCAACTCGACCTTTCAAATAAGTTAATAAGCTCCACTTTTTAAAAGGAAAAAATAAAGAAAAGCAAGATGAACAGCAGACATCAAGGTCAAACAACCATTTTTCCATGACCATTTTGGGGAAATGTGTGGGAGAGGAGGAAGGAGCTCGCAGCATCTCATGAGATTGTTCTGCAACCACGGCCAGAGAGTGTGAAGGCCACTATGGGACCCACTCCATGGGACTGATGGATGGGTGTGAGCACCGAGTGTGTGGAGTGTCCCCACGGGGCTGCATGGAAGCAACAGGAAGTGGTGGTGCGACGGATAAAGAGAGGGCTCAGAGCGGAGCACAGCATCTTTGGAACTGGTCAGTGAAGGGAAAACAAGGCAAAGAAAGGGACATTTAGAATTTTGAGGAAGGTACTGCAAATTCATATACTCTGTCATTTTTTTGCCCTCCACACAAATGAGCTTTACAGTAACCAAAGCCCCAGGAAGAACTCAAATTAACAACACAAAGCGTCACATGCTACACTGCTGGGAACTTGTGCACTTGGACCAAGATTCTCGACCGCCACCCCAAATCGCCGGCCTTGTCCGAGCAGGGTAGATGACTATGATGAGTCCAACCACCTTGGCTGGAGAATATTCCTGCTACGCCATCCAGACAATATTAATCTTCATAATAATGATACCAGTAATGGTAGAATTTGGAGATTAAGGGAACTACAGCACAGGGCTCAGGTAGAACTAGAGGCTCTCGGGATGTGAGTCTGGGGCCATCCGTGCAAACGCTCAGCCCAGAAAAGAGCAGCCGGAGCCAAGGGAGAAGTGGAACCAGACTTGACAACGGAGCAAAGAAGTGGCAGAAAGTGTTGAAGGCGTGTCATTGGTCAGGAGTAAGTGGTGACACACACTAGGAAGAGCAGCTGGACACGGAAGGGGTGAGGACACTGCTGAGAGAGTGGACACGAGATAAGGAACAGGAGAGCACGGACACGGGCTTTAACAGACGGCAGGCAAAGAAGATCTAACTCTCACGTCGTCAAAGTCTGCAGAAGAGAAGCAGAGCGATAGAATATGCAATCTGTAATGTTGCAGTCAAGTGCAGCACCTCTGGAAGCGAACTCCAAGTCACAGATTGAGGAGGCTGCTCCTAATCTTTCATTTCTTGGTTTATTATTTAACAGATATATCGTACTGACTTACTGTAATTGTTTCTTTATATATATTTGAGAGTCAGGGGGAGTGAGACCAGGAGTGCTCCAATTTGCTATTTTTGCCCCAATGTCTGCACCCCACCTGGACATGAGTGCATTACTCTTGTGAGCTGGAGCCAGGAACCAGGAGCCAGGAACCAGGAACCAGGAACCAGGAACCAGGAGCCAGGAGCCAGGAACCAGGAGCCAGGAGCCAGGAGCCAGAGCTCAAGTCAGGTTTGTCACATGAATGGAAAGAACCCAAGTGTTTGTGCTGCCACCTGCGAACTGCAGAAAGCTGGAATCTGGCTCGAAGCCAGGACTCAAACCCCAGGACTCCAATGTGGGATGTGTCTGAGCTGCTTAGGCCGCCTGCTTCTCCAGAATTCCCGGTTCCTTAAAGCATGATCCTGCAAAGTGGCTCATTCAGTGTGTGATGGAATAAACAGAAATACATGAAAATGATCAACCCTTAGGCCCTATAGACATGTGGCTTGAAGTTGTAGGAGAGGTTGGCAGATTTAACCTACTTGCCGTAATTGCCTCCATATAGGAAACTATTTCAACATAATCGTGGAAAATGGAATTTTTCCAAGATGTTTGGTGCAAACTTGCTGAAACCCATGCACATGAAAGTTCAAGGTAGTTTGTGTTATGAAGAAAGTGTTGTGCATGCATTTCAAAAATGTTTGTCTCAAGACAAATTTGTCTTCTGATTCCATTTCCATAGACTTTTGAAAAGCTACTAGATTATCTTTTTTCCTCTTTAATTCTGCTGGACATAGGTAGCTGATTCCATTTCGTCTGAAAGAAAAGAGGATACAAAGAGATTAGGAAGTTTTCCTCCCCCTCACTATTCCTTTTAATATCTCTTGCATTTGATTTTTTGGGTTCAGACTTTGTGTGGTTGTAAATTTTACCGACGGGAGGAATTACAGCACAGAAGAAAAATGCACTGTTTATCCCAGCATCAGTAAGATCTGCCTGTTGCCCGAAGCTGTCTTTCCATTCTCAGTTTACCGTGATCAGCAATTCAAATCACAGGAAGCAATACCAACAAGCACGTGTTGGAAATAATGTGTGTTAGATCAGCTGCGTCTTTAGGTAATGGGTTTTCTAGTCCCGATGAGAAGACCTTGCTGGCTTAGCTGACTGAATCTGGCTGTCATTTTAAAAGAAAAAAATTTTTTTCAAGGTTATTTTGTTTTTGTTGTTGCTCTTAGAATACAAGAAGATCAGTTTTGTCTGAAAAATGGGTTTAAACTTTAAGATGAAGGGGTACAGATGGGGCTGCGATATCTCACCCTTCTTTCTCATTGGGTTCTAGGCTCAGAGCAGAGCTAGCCACAGAGCAGGAGCTGCTGCAGTCGGCTAGGAAAGAATCAGGCAAGTGCATGTGGAAGTCGTGCGCGTGGGAGGCTGTGTGCACGGGAGGTTGTGCGTGTGGCAGGGTGTGCACCTCAGAGGGTGTGCACGTGGGAGGCCGTGCGCGTGGGAGGTCTTGCGTGTGCTCCCTGTGGCACTTTCCCAGAGTGGCTATTCCAGTTTGCTCATTCACTCCCACCCCACTGACCACAGTCAAGCACTTTGGGAGGTTCCAAAGGCAACACCTTCTCTGCTTGACTGTGATGCTGCAAGAGGGAGTTGGCGCACCTGACCTCATGCGAGGGACTGTAGTCACAGCAGAGGCACTCCTCAAACACTGTATAAAGCGCCCTCCAGCACAAGTGAATTCATATCTAGATTTATTCTGCCTCCCATGTGTCCCGTCATATATTCTCAATCATTCTTCTGTCTTTAAAATCAATCAATCAATCAATCAATCAATCATCCAGAACAATTCTGGTCCCAGATATTTCAGGCAAGTGATCCTCAGTCTGCACTTAGAGAGAGGAAGTGAATTCGTTTGCTTAGAGGTTCTGTTGGGGCCAAAGTTGTGATCCTGTTGCACAGGGCATACCTGGGTACTCAATGCCCTTGCATCCAAATACACCATGTTCTCTGCCTCGCTGCTTCAAGCTTTTCAAGCAGGATACTTTTTGTCATGAGGAGTGGAGCCTGCAGAAATGGAATAACATCAACAAGAGAATTGAATGAGTTAGATCCAACAAGGAAGTTATTTATCTTTTTTTAAATTAATTACATTGCATTATGTGACACAGTTTCACAGTCTCTGGGATTCCCCCAACCCCTCCACCTGCTCTTCCCCCATCGTGGATTCCTCCACCTTGTTGCTGAATTACATTTCAAATTTAGTTAAGATTCTTTCATTGCAAGCATATACCAAGCTTAGAGTCCAGCATCTTATTATCCAGATAAATTCAACAGTGTCTTGGGGGGACCATCTCTGGTCTGAAGGCAGAGCTGGCAGAATATCATCCCGATCAATTAAAAGCCACAACATAACATCAACAACAATTTACAACATTATGGAATTAATTGACATGGTATTGAGTAATCAATACGTTAAAACAATTCAAGTTCTTAACTACATCCTGTGACTACTTCATTGATATTTCAATTTTAGTTTATATACTGCTGGCTTCTATACACCTTAAAATGGCTACAGAGTACTATTCAGCTGTCTCGTATCTATTTTCGTTTTAGTATTTAGCAGTTTATTGTGTTGAAGCATAATTTTATTGAACTTGGCCGATTTTAGGATAGTCTAAAGTGGCTTGTAACTCTAACAAGGCATATGTCAAAAGTTGAGGTGCAGAACAGTTTTAGGAGGGGTGTGCAGAGAAATCTTCAGTACTTTAGTGAGGAGTAACTAATCTTTGTGTCCTACTTAGTAAGGTATGTGTGAGTCCACGCTGACCGTTTCCTGTCTGGTTCTAAGCTTTCCTTGTTGTTCTCTATCTATTCTATTTTTTTGAGGTGGGGTGAGGGGGGTGCTCCAGAGCTACCCTGATGGTCATTGCAAGAGAGGGTGGGGATCCAAAGTTGGAACTAAGTAGACCAGAGAAAGCTCCTCTCCTGAGTCCCGAAAGAAGTTTACTGCTCTTCTGTTTCTGAGGACCGCTCAGGGTTCCTGGCTGTTGTTCCGATGACCCTGGGTCCTGCAAGGAAGTATTTGGGCTTCTTCCATCCCATGTGGTCGATCCAAACAGGGGTAGATGACCTCGGAGTTCTCGGCCTCCAAAGGCACTCCAGTTCCCCGTGTTCTCCTTGGCGGTTGGGATGTAGTCCTTGGTGCCTGTACTGATAGTCCTTGGTGGGGATCCAGGAGTCTCCAAGGTTGGGATACAAACCTCCTTCTAGAAGTCCCCCTGCTCCACTCTGGGGTCCCCCCTTGCTCTGTGCATATGACCTCCTGTTAAGAGGTTATTAGGATAGCTCTTGATTCCCCCTGTATGTCATTGTAGTTTTACTATTGTCTAATGCTGATTTGAATCTGTTGTGGATTATGTCTGCTATGTTCTTGATAGGTTGTACTTCACGTCTTCCTTACACATTCTAGGGAGATGGAGGATTTCTCTGCTCTCCTTCCCCATTTCTGAGTAGCATAGGGTCTTAGAAGTATGTTAGGTTTTGGAAGTTATTTATCTTAAACAAAGTGTCTAACAGGTGTGACAGACTTCAGAGGCACTTGTGGGTCCTGGTCTGGCATACCCCCATGGGGCTGGGGATGGGAAATCTCTTGTAGTTTTGGGGGTTATAGAGTTTTTTTCTGGCCTTCAGAACTTTGTGTTTCTATCCCTGGCTTGAGCAAGCAGGTGAATGTTGGGAGTGTCTGAATCTTGTATGCCATCTACCTTGGCATCCATACCCCGCCTCTGCCTTCTCAGCACTCCCCTTCCCAGGGCAAGCAACAGGCAGAGCTGTCGGGGCTGGGTTTGGGGTGGGAGTGGCTGCCACACTCATGGCCAACTCTCCCGGGGAACTCTGAGCTTCTTATATCAGCAGCTGTAGACATACCATCCAGCTGTTAACCAGCTGAGGGTGGCTCTTCTTTGAAGTGTGTTGTAAGGGTTGTGCATGGTTCTTGCATAAAAAAGTACAGATCATGGGAAAGAAACCCACCTGGGACCACCTACCCACCCAGGGATGGGCTCCGGCATGAAGGAAACAGAAACGAGGTGATTATTGGTACCCAGTCTACAGAGCTGTGGCCAGCAGGTGGGAGCTGGCTTCTCCCTGGGGCACTGCGGTCTGATCATTACCATGCAGAAGCTGCTCCCGCCACTTCCTTGTTGGCTAAGAAACTTGGGAGGTACAACCTAAATGCATCAGGGCCACTAAAGCAGGGTGAGGGAGGAGTGGCAGAAGCAGCTGCTGCTGGGCAGAGCTAGGACATAGATCACAGAGTTGACAAAGCTTACAAAGATAGCGAGGGGTCTGAAAGTGGCAAAGCAAGCCTGGCGGTTGGCCTAGTTTGAGACTATTTTGTTCTTTTTGCTACTGAGCCCTAGAATCATGGCTGCACTAAGGTTAAGCTGAGTCTTTTATGAAAAATACACCATGGTCATTTCTCACATAGGTTGCCTGATCCTCCTTCCTCTTCATGCCAGTGAGGACAGAAGCACTCTTTGTAGGGAAATTGATTGCATCTTATCAGCATCTATGCTTGAAATGGAAAGTAGCATTGTTTCCAAAGTAAACAGTCTATAACAGAGTGAACTGTATCTTACCCTTTACTCCTGATGGCTGCTAACTACGCAATCCAAAGCCCACTTTCCCAGGAATTTTGTCAAACACTAACTAGTACTGAGATTGTAGTGCAGTCCTAGGTCTAGCTTATTCTATGTTCTCCATGGAACTTAGCCTCCAACACACTTGGGAACCTTTTCTCTCCTTTCCACCAGCAACCTCAGTGTCGCTTAACTTGCAGTGTCTCTGCCAGGGCTTTCTGCTTCCCCAAGTGCAGATTCTGATCATGGCCATGGGTGCTAATTTACCGTTAAACTCTTCCACCTTGCCCAGTGCCTACTAACTTCTGAGTGACTGAAAAGAGGAAATCTTCACTCTCATATCAGGTTGTTTTTACTCTCACAGTTCAACTCACATTGTGTTTTAACACTCATAACATTTCATAATACTGGTAATGATGCATGATGCTATGAATAATAAAAGTAGAGACACTAAGCACAGAAATACTTTGCTTTTGAAACCATTTCCAGGAGCATCTGAGGCAAACGTAATTGACGAAGAGAACCTTACTCTCACTCAGAAGGTGGAAAAGAAACGATGTGAAATTCTTAATAAGTTGGATGAAATTCAAACTCTTAGAAAACAAATTAAAGCAACTTTGGTTCATACTAGAATTTCAGATATCACTGAAAATGGGATTAAGAGCATAGAGGTATGCCCTGCCCTGCCCTCCCTTCCTCCTCTCCCTTCCTGCTCTTCCCCCCCTCCCTTCCCTATTGCCTCCCTTCCTTCTTCTCTTCTTTCCTCCCTTTCTTCCCGCCCTCCCTTCTGCTGTCTCATAAGCAAATGCTACAATTGTTTTTTTAAGCAGTGTAATTATGAGTTCACAGTTCCGTATGTTGATGGCATGGCGCAATGCTAAAATAGCGTGAACTCTCCTTCATAAGCAAAGCCTGTTTGGACAGTCTGTGCCTAGGAGACAAAATATTCTCTATTGCTAACGTCTGTCACTTTGGCTACAATTTATATTTGGTCCTTGAATTCAAATACCACATGGAGCAATAAAAGTGATATTACCATGTAATCACTTTCTGGTTTGGGATTTGAAATAGGTTGTTTCTCACCAGGAAACATAAAATAAAACATAATAAATTCTATTAAGAATTTATATAGACACCATTATGAATATATATTGTTCAAAATTTACTTATTTCTTTGAAAGACACAGTTACAGAAAGGGGGGCAGACAGAGGGAGGGTGACTTTTCATAGATTGATGCCTAGAAGTTCATCTGATCCTCCCATGTGAGTGGCAGAGGTCCAAGTGCTTGGGCAATCTTCTACCTCTTTCCCATCAAATTAGCGGAAGTTGCTCAGAAATAGAGCAACTGGGTTTTAATGACTGTTTAAGTCTCAATAACACTAAGAGATAGCTTCCCTTATTAATTCTCTTTCAGTTAAAGAAACAAGGCACAAAGATGCTAACTCATTTCACTGAGATAACAGCAAGTGGAACAATTAGTCTTCCAACTCTCTCTGGCTTTTGGTTGTACGCTGTATTGCCTCACTGTAAAGATTGCTAATTTCTTTCAGTATGTTGTGCATCTAGAAGACCAAGTCTTTATACCCCTAGACCAACATTATTTTTTTTTTCACATTGAACTTGTGTTTGTGTAACTTCATTCGGGAAGGGGGCTGGCACTGTTGCATGGTGAATTAAGCCACTGCTTGCAGTTCCAACATTTCACATGGGCTCCAGTTTAGTTCTCAGCTGCTCTGCTTCCATCTAACTCCCTGATGACGTGCCTGGGAAAACAGGGGATGGCCCAAGTTCCAATGTGGGGAATCCAGAGGAAGTTTCTGACTTTTGGCTTTGGACTGGCCCAGCTCTGGTTATTGTATCCTTTTGCAGAGTGAACTAGCAGATGGAAGACATTTCTCTCTCTGTGACTCTGTCTTTCACATAAGTAAATCAATCTTTTTTTTTTTAAAACAAATGTTAATACTTCTGTCTAGGATAGTTTTACACTCATCTAGCTCACTGTTGTGCCCTAAATAAATCATTGTTATGAATTTATTGTTATGACATTATGGAGCTGTTGCTGTTATAAATGGAAATTCAAAGCATTTTTCAACTTTGTAGTTGACAGTCATTCATTACTGGTGTATTTAGCGACATATAGGTGAATGTCAAAGATATTGTGGATTCAGGTCCTGGATTCCACAATAAAGACAATAATACAATAAAGTGAGGTTTTTTTTTTTTTCTTTTTAACATGAAGGTTTTGGTTTCGCAGTGCATATAAATGTGATATTTGTCTAATATATTGAAAATGTTTTATGTTTAAAACTATATGTGCTGTGTGTGTGTGTATGCTTAAAATATTTTCACTGTTAGAAAATACTAATAGACATTGAGCTAGAAAAATTATGCCATCAGGCTTATCCAATGTAAAGTTGATTCAGTTAATAAAAAATCCAACGTGTTTGCAGTGAATCGGAAGGCGTGCCTGTGTTTGCATTTTTACATTATGTCAGCCTTCTTAGCACACTTGTTGTTAGTCTTGGAAAGTGACGAGGCCTTCCACTTTGGAACTTCCCTAAAATGTCTGCTGTTTTGAACCATCAGAATCTACTTCTTCCATTTTCTGACCCAGGTTCAGGTTTGCTCTTTATCATGACTCCTTCATTTAATTCTTTATTTTTATATCTATTCTCAAATGATATGCTCTTAAATGGAATGTTCTTGACATTATTCTAGCTTTCATGTAGCATTTTTTTTTCTCCACAGAGATGCATGGTTAGGAAATATTCTGAATCTAATTTCTTGTTTTAAAACCATTTTTCCCTTTAGAATGAAGCTTTAAAATTAGAAACATCAAATAAAATTTTAGAGAAGAAAATAAAAGTAAGTATTTTTGTGGAATCAATGTTTAATCAACCTGAATGTCTCTCTGGTATCTGCTTGCCTGTATCATTAACCAAGCAGAAAAAGATGTGTTCTTTTTTTAAATGATGATTTTCTTGAGTATCAGGTGTGTCTGGCTAGGCAGACATTACTTCCTAGAGGAAAAGGCTAACGTGTTTGTGAAGAAATGGTGAGCTCCGTTTTTACTGTTGTGTGTGTTCACCATTGTTGGCCATTCCTCTAGCTCTTCCACGTGTTGGCTTTCAGCGATGAGCTTACTTGGTGACGCGGAATCCAAGGAGCAGATTTCTCCGGCAGTTTCCAAACTACAAGTCAGAAAATTGTAGCTTAACACATTATGGTTCTGCTTCTATTGCATGTTGAATCAGTTGCTGATACTAATAACCTCGCTATTATGTTGGCTATAAGTTAGTATGTTCTATTTGATACTAGAAATGCTACTACATTCATGTTCAATATTACTGATACTGTACTGCATTGGATTATACCTGAGTAACTGACTTTTAATTCCTGGTAGATTATTGAAAACCATCTGAAGCATAACATGAGAAGGTATAAGTTGAGTGAGGAGGATCAGCAGTAAGTATCAATGTCCCGATCAAAGACTTCGGGCAATTCCAGGCTCTCTTGGAGCCCATTGCTTCAGAACAGAAGTAGCCCAGATGAACTTTGACTTTTTGACACTCAAGAATCTTTATGTCTCTTATAATCTTTTATTGTGCTCAGGAAAGTTGATTCCAAGATTTAGCATTGAGTACCAGTTAGTGGTATTTTTTAGAAAAAGGTGAATTCTCTTGGGCAGAAATCAAGAAAATGGGATATCATGTGGCTTTAGATAACTTTCTCTTCTTCAGTTTTATGACTTTGATCATGATAGACCTTTGAAGAAATGCCATGTATATTATTATGAATATTTTCATTTAGGAAGCAAGCAGTTGACTTGTGTTAACAATTACTTTCTGCTTTGAACAAATAATTTTCCTAAAGTTGTTACTGCACTTCAAATCTCAGGACTTAAATGATTGGGAGGGACACAAAAGCAAAGATGGTTTAGATAGTGAAGGGGTCTGTGTGTCAAGGGTGAGAATGGGTCTGAATGTCTTGCGTTCAGTGGTTTCATTCAGGAACTAGCTTCTTTTACTTTCCTTTCCTGGCACCTTTTGAGTTCAGTATGGCTGCCACCATGCCATGGAGGCAGACATGGGAAAGGGGCGGGGCAGAGGTTGGTGGAGAGCTGCTTGTGTTTAATTTAGGAAGGGAAGTCCTTTTGTGGAATCCTTTCAGTGGGATCCTTGTCATTGGCGTGGGAAATGGCACATGGAAATGCATGTACGTACTAAGAGAAGCTGTGTTGCATTTGCTTAGTGCATTTTTGCTTAGTGCATTTTTCTAATCTATTGTTATGTATTTGAAGGAATCTCTGGGAATTTATCAGGGGATTTACAAAATTAGAAGAAAAACAAGATTGTCTCCCAGGTGACCAGAAATACGAGTGATGAAAACATACGTTGGTTGCAACCTTAATGGGTGCCTACTGAGGTGTTGGCACATTTTACGTTGTCAGACTCAGCCTATTGATGAAATTAACATGGTATGTTTGTCATGTTATGCAGACATGAAAATAAATATGTGTTCACATAGTTTGTGCCACTTTTGTAAACATGGTCATGAAAACACAGCTCTTCCAGTTATATCTGCTTTTGGGCCCGGCCTGGTAGCCTAGTGGCTAAGGTCCCAGCTTTGCACGATCTTGGATCCTATATGGGCACTGGTTCATGTCCTGGAGGCCCCGCTTCCCATCCAGCTTCCTACTTGTGGCCTGGGGAAGCAGTCGAGGACGGCCCAAAGCTTTGGGATACTGCACCCTTGTGGGAGACCGGGAAAATGCTCCAGGCTCCTGGCTCCAGATCAGCGCAACTGTGGCTGTTGCGGCTACTTGGGGAGTGAATCAGCAGATGGACGATCTTTCTCTCTTTCTCTCCTCCTCTCTGTGTGTCTGACTTTCCAATAAGAATAAATATTTTTTTTCATTTTTTCACATTTTATTATTATTGCTATCATTTTACGATACAATTCCACATTCCCTTATCCCCTCCCCAACCCCCCCCCAGTTCCTTTATATCATTATTAACATATAGTTCTTCATACTCAGTCATATGTTCATCATTGTGGGCATGGACAATGGCAGAGAGTCCAGAATCCTATTGTCAAAATATAATATACACAGTTTCACTGTAAGTCCATCTTTGTCTGGAAACAGAGATGCATACCACACTGCATCCTCACATCTGGTTGTTAGTCTCCATTACATAACTACTGTACATTCCCTTAAATGAAAAGTCATGATACAAAATCAACAATAGAAAGAAAAATAGAAATTTACAATGCCATGAAGTTAAATGACATGTTACTAGATATGACAGTCTCCATTACACAGCTACTATCCATCCCCTTAAATGAAAAGCCACAAAACAAAATCAACTTCCGGAAGAAAAAAGAAATTAACAACACCAAGAAGTTAAACAACATGCTATTAAATGTCCAACGTGTAGCTGAAGAAGTGAAAATCAAGAACCTTCTTGAAGAAAATGATGCCATTGTATGATCTACGAGTCATTGAATGATCCAATCAGAAGAAAGTGTCCTGAAGAGATGAAACCAACAGAAAACATCAAATCCCATGTGATAGAGTTTCCGCTGATCTTTGTTGAAGTGTATCTCCTCCAGACAATAAACGAATGGGTTTTGTTTTTTAATCCAGTCTACTAATCTATGATGTTTGATTGAGCTTAAGCCATTTACATTTAGAGTCAAATATACATAGGTGGTACTTTGGTCCTGTCATTTTAGCAATGGATTGTTCATTGGTTTAGTTTTCTGTTGTCATTCTACTGGGATGTTCTTCCCATTTGCCTTTGGTTTTGGTAGGTGCTATTCCTCTTCTCTGTCAAGAGAACATCTTGAAGTATCATTTGTAGGGCGGGTTTGGAAGAGGCAAATTCTTTTAGCTTTTCTTTACTCTGGAAGAATTTTATTTCATTTTCAAAGATGAAAGAAAGCTTTGCTAGGTATGTTATCCTAGGCCGACAATTTTTTTCTTTTAGAATCTGGAATATGTCGCTCCATTCTCTTCTTGCCTGTAGAGTTTCCTGTGAGAGATCTCCTGTGAGCTTAATTGGCCTTCCTTTATATGTCAATTGATTTTTTTCACATGTGCATGTAAGGATTTTTTTCCTTATGTTCAATTGAAGAGAGCTTGATGCTCATGTGTCTTGGTGAAGATCGCTTTTGATCAAGCCTGTTAGGAGTTCTGTGTCCCTCCTGGATCTTGTTTCCCAATTCTTTCTCCAGATTAGGGAAATTTTCCTTGATTATTTCATTAAATACACTTGCAAACTCAGCTTCTCTTTCTGCACCTTCCGGGACTCCCATAACTCTTATATTTGGCCTCTTAATAGTGTCTTTCAATTCTTGAATACTTTTTTTGGCCTGATCCAGCTCTGCTTCTAGCTTTTTGTTTGCTTCCTCCTGGTGACAGGAGATATCTGCCAATTCTGAGATTTTTTTTCTTCTGCTTGCTTCATTCTATTATTGAGACTCTCCACTGTACTTGTAATTTGCTCTACTGTGTTCTTAATTTCTGATATACCAGCCTTGATTTGCTTTACTGCTTCGTTAAATTCTTTGAACTCTTGCATGAGCTTCTCATTTTTGACCAGAATCTTCAAAATGAGTCTTATGGATTCTGTGTCCCCCATTTTCTCGATGTCTTCCTCTGTTAACTCTGAGGTTGGCATAGGGTTTTGCTCCTTTGCAGGGGAGTTATTTTTCAGTAATATTCATTGTGCCTTTGTCTCTTCTTTTGCTCTTGGTCATTGTACTTCTGGTTAGCAGAGTCTTCTTCTTGTTGCAGGTTTCTAAGCTGTGTCACCCACCGGTCTACAATTCGATTTTACTTATTGCAGTTGGCACACAACTTTTTGCTTGCAGCCACTTGTGTAAGTTCCAGATCTGGGTTCTTATGTCAGATATCCACCGTGGTCTCCACAGCCCCAGCTCTTGGCTCACCACTCTCCACCTCCTGTGATACCGTGCTGAGGCTGCACCATTGTCTCTGCAACCTTTCTCCCATTTCTGGTTGGAGTGGGTTCCAGGATTAGAGAGACACCAATTGTCCTATCTAGTTAGGTTGTTGGTGGCGCTGATCTTGTCGGAACCTATTGGACGTTAGGTCTGCGTGCCACACGGACCTATTTTGACCGGTACAATGTCACAGTCAGTATTATTTTCCTGCGGGACCTCAGCAAGCTCTCGCCAGCTCAGCACATGTGCAGTTCTCTGTTGTCCCCTGCAGTCCCAAAGCTATTGCCATGGTGCACAAAATGGCACCCGACGTGCTACCACAACAGTTCTTGATCTGCTGGCCATCAGATCCAAGGGCTACCCAGACATGCCCCAGATGGAACCCGTAGAATGCCACGTCATTGCAGTTTGCCGAGTCAGAAATGAGCACACTCCCTGCTCAGAGCATGCTCAGTCCTTTCCCTTGCCCTTTTCTCCTTACGCAAAATGGCGCCCAATTCAGCTCTAGGGGCCTGACTGGGCTATGAAATCCTCGCTGTTCTCGCACTACCCGCCTGGGATCTGCTGCTCTGTCTCTGCTCCTGGACAGTACTTTGTCTGGGTTCACCTCCCAAGCTCCCAGTGAAAGTCCCTTCCCACCTGATTGCTGGTGGAGTTCCGGCTGCTGGTGGAGTTCAGATCGCCATGCTGGAGTATTGTTCACTGCAACACCACACTGCTGTGCCCACTGCTTTCCTGTATCTGTCAGTCTCCAGGTACCCCTCTGCTGTTGTTCTGTCCTTTCGTATTTCCTGAAATATGTCCTCTCTGCTTCATCCTGATTAAATGTTTCTCCGTCTGATTAAATGTGTCCTTACCCTATTCTGCCATCTTGATTCTCCAAGAATAAATATTTTTAAAAAGAATATTCTCTGAATTAATAACTTTCCAATGGAGAAAATATTTGTGATTGATAGGAGGTAATAATTCCATACCCTGGTCCCACAGACCTGTGTATGTGGCAGCACATTTTACATATACTCTTAACACAGTTTAGGAATGATGTAGTAAATATCCCCTTGGTGAAACGAGAACTGGTCAACCATCATGAAGGCACAATGCAAGCCCCTGTCACTGTCTGCCTTCACTTGAGCTTGTTATGTCTCTACTTGGCATGTCCAAGAATCTTGTGTAAATGCAAGAGTAAATGCAAATGAGTGAAGGTGTCCAAGCACTTGAGCCATCCTGTGATACCGTGTCAGGTGCATCAGCAGGCAGCTGGATGGGGAGTCTCCGCCCTGAACTCATACGGGACGCCGGTATCCTAAGTGGTGAGATTTATGCCACAGCATGGCCCCCTTGGGATCTCCCATTTGAAAGCAAGAGCTGGATACAGAGGTGATTGCTGGATGATTATATGGTAGCAGTACTTCAGTTTTTCCAAAATAAAATTTGATTATAAAACTCCTTATCAACAATGAGAAGTACAAGGAATTTAAGGACTATATCACACAGGAAATA